GATAGATAGATAGATAGATAGATAGATAGATAGATAGATAGATGATGGATAGATGGATAATAGATAGATAGGATGGACAGATAGATGATAGAGAGATGGACAGATAGATAGATGATAGACAATGGACAGATAGATGATAGATCTATCATCGATAGATGATCGATAGATGGATAGATGATAGATAAATGACTAGCCCTCTCTATGGAAAGTTTTCTTCCACCTCCGCTCCACCGGGGGCCCCCACAAGCGCCTGTGCTAACTCCCGAGCCATCCCTTGGTTCTCAGACTGGCTCACTAACTTGCCTAAGCCTCAGTGGCCTCATCTGCAATGTGGGGCCAGGAACAAAGCCACAAAGGGCCTGCCCACAGGGCCCGGCGCCAGGCCAGTGCCCAGAGAACCACAGTGGCTGGGAGCTGACTCCTGGCCTCTTTCTTTATCTGTGTGGGGTCCGTCCTGCTTCCTCATTATGTAATCTATGGGCCATGAGCTGGCCTGCAGGGCAGGGCCGCTGAACCCCACTCTCCTGCCACCTCAACCGCCCCACTCTCATCTGCCTGTCTCTCGGGCTGCCCAGAAACCCTTGTTAATTGTTCCTGCCTGAGCACGAGCTGTGATTCATGCCGATCCTCCTAGAAACTGAGTGAGGAGAGAATTTGATCTGCATGAATTCACTGGTTGGTTCCTAGCCTCACCTCCACCTCCTCACCTCATTTTGCAGGACCCCCTGCTTGCTAGATTTAAATGTTACTCCATAAGGTCTGTGGCTCAGGTTATAAGTGCGTGTTCTGAAGTCAGGGAAATCTGCGTTTGATCCCTGCCCTTCTGCTCAGGCACTGGGAGGCCACTAGTCCCCTCTCTGCTTTGTCTCCTCATTTCTAAAGGGGTAAAGTGGTAGCTACTGTGAAGGGCTATGGTGAGGGCCAAGCTTCCCAGGCACGGAGCAGACCACCCATTGTCACAGGAGCCTGTGGGCAAGATCGGGAGGACAGGGCTGGCACCCCAGCACTGCCCTCCCCCCACTGGGTAGCCTTAGCTACCATGCTCTTCCCATGCCCGCCTCAGTTTCCTCATCTGTGAACTGGGAACCCCAAGCCCTACTTCGCCTCATGGCCCCAGATGAGAGTCAGATGAGACCGCAGCTACCACAGGCTTTGTGACCATTTGGTGGGTGGTTTGCATGAGGAGGCCACGGGTGCCCATGGGATGAGGGCCTGGGGAAGACGGGGACCCTTCAGGGTGTAGCCTGTGGCCTGCTGAGTGGGAGGGACACGTGGGATTCTCTCAAGGGCAAAGTGACAGGTCAGCAGGTGAGACGTCAGTCTTCAGGTGGGGTCAGGGTGGGAGAGGGCCAGGAAGTTCAGCTCAGGACTCAGAACAAGGGCTCCTTAGAACTGGCCCCAAAGCTCCCCAAGGGCACACACCTGGCTGCAGTTGTCGAGCCCAGGCCATGCCAGCACCCACAGTGGCCTTTTCCTAAGTCACCTCTTGCCAAGAAAGTGACCGGGATGGGGAGGTGACAGTTGAGCTGACTGTCACAACTGGCTCATGCCTGCACATGGGGGGAGCACAGACCCCTGGGGCCTGCCGGATACCCTGGACCCATCCCACGAGTCGCAGACCCAGCAGGGCTCAGAGTTGAGCAGGATCTATCTGGCCTCTAAAGCCAACTGTCACCTCGTTGCTTTGTTCTCTCCCAGCCTCCGATTACCTGTCTACACAATGGGAGAACAGCCTCAAAACCTCATCCCAAATCTACCTGTAAAGTTTATTAAATTCAAATTCCAGTCCCCCTTCCTGAAGCTACGGAGATAGAGTTCTGAGGAGTTGGGGGCTGGGAACGAGCTACCCTGGGAAGCAGAAGACACCTACGGATCACCTGTCATCCTGAAGTGCCTGCCGAGTCATCCAAACACTCCTTTCCCGAGTGTATATGACACTTTCTCCTTAGCCATGCATCTAACCAGAGAAGTTAAGGCATCTGCCTGGGCTCACACAGCAGTGGATGGCAGGGTTAGACCGGGAGGCCTGGCTCAAGATCATGTCCCACCCACGGGTCAAACATCCCTCCGTGGGTCAGAGACAGGGAGCCAGAATATGGGAGGTGTGCACACACCCTGCGGAACATCTTCATCTGAGTAGGAATTATGCTGGTCTGACTATAAAGTTTCTGGTGAGGCCAGGAGCTCCCATCTCGGCATCCTTGCTGCGCATAGAGAGGCTGGTTGGACCATGCCCACCGGCCACAGAGTGTGCTCTGAGGAAACCGACTGAAGGGGTCAGAGCCTCTTCCTTTGTGCCACTACCTGAGGCTAAGTGCAAGCAGCCGCACCTGTCCACCTCTTCCCCCGGATGCCAGCAGCTTCCATATTCCACCTGGGATGGGAACGCTTGGAACCCGGCACAGGGCAGGGCTAGGTGTTCTGGCTGAACGCCAACACCTGCCACCCCACGGGGTGTGCCAGGAAGGCCGGGGGCGGGCAAGAGCGTCGGCCAGGCGAGTGCTGCTTCCAGGGCCAGTCAAGCTCCCACAGTGCCCTCGCGGAGTCATGAGCTGACTGTCCTATCCTCCTGGAGCAGCCACAGCTGCCAGCTACCTGGGTGCAGCCCCCGAGGGAAGAAACACCCAGACCCAGCGAGGGTCCCTGTGGAGACTCACCCCAACTGCAGGGAAAGTGGAATCTTTTATTGAAAGTGTTAAGTACACAGTGGACTGCGTGGAGGCCAAGAGGCTCCATCCTCCGGGTGGCCCCTCCCCCCCGCCGGGGGCTGGCACGGGACTGACCATGGACGGGACTGTCTGCCGACAAGGACGATGGCTGGATCCTGCCTCCCGGTGGGCAGGTGGGACGAGGGCTGGGGGCTGGGAGGGGCCTGCTGTGGGGGGCCGAGGGGACTCGGGACTGGAGACTGTCGGGCTGAGCTTCGCGGGCTGGTCTGGCGTCTTCCAGGACTTCAGCAGCTTCTCTGCCGTCCTCACTCAAGCGCTCAGCACCAGAAGGTCCTTCGAGGGCAGAACAGAGAACCCCGTTAGTGGGTGGAGGACTGAGGCCGCAGCCTCGGTGGTCACTTGGCTCTGGCTGGGGCAAGTCAGGCATCAGGAAGCGGTGACTGATCAGCGGCGGTGACCGGCGGGGTCCTGGGGCCTGACGACCATCCTTAGCTTGCCCGGTACCAGGAATCTTGGCTAAGACACTTCCCCTCATCGGGAGAGGGAAATAAGAAATAAGAGAAGCAGGTGATGCTCTCCAGTCTTCCAAATCCAGTTTTCATAATGAAAAAAAAAAAAAAAACTACAACGAAGTATGTGATAGATTATAACCCACAAAACAAAATAAATACCCATGGCTCTGGGACTAATTGAATAAATAAACAAAGGAGAAGAGGAGAAGAGACAGTTCTTTATAGAACTGCAACGAATGAAGAGCCCAGGAATCCCCGAAATAGAACACCGCCAGGAGAAAATATCACATTGATAACTGCTGCAGGGGAGATCAAAATTAGTGGGGGACAAACAGGATATCAGCATCCTCTCCAAGAATCCCCCCAGCGATATCTATTATTTACAAAGGGAAAAATAACCGTGGAGAGAGCTGGCGGGAACCCTTTAACCATAGCTCAAAGTCAGCCTGCCACCTTCAGCGTGCCCGGGAATAGGGGTGCAGCATCACCAGCGGGGATCTTGCCAAAAACACATAATCTCAATCTAATCACGAGACACCATGGGTCGAGTCCGAACCGAGGGACATCCCACAGAATGGGCCAAACACAGGGAGGGGGGGACTGTCGCAGGGGTCACTCTCAGAAGGGGTGAAAACTGCGTGCCAACTGGGGTCCTGCACCCCGAACCAAAGCACGTTAGCAGGGAAACAGTTAACAGCTGTGTATCAATGTTAACTCTCGGGTTTTGATCGTTGTGTTCTGTGGCGTAAGATGCTGAGTAAAGAGTATTCTGGACCTCACTGTACTGTTTCTGCCATCGGGGGCGATGGCTGGGTCCTGCCTCCGGTGGGGCAGGTGGGATGAGGGCTGGGAGGGGGTGTGTGTGCGTAAGTAGATTATATAACTCTACATTTACCTTCAGAGTAATAAAGGGAATAATACAAGCTCCAGTTGTAAACTGTAATGTTGAGTTTGAAAGGTGGAGAATCATTGATTTCAAGAAAGACTTAGAGGTTCATGTAGCCCCTCTGCAGACGATGCCAGGAGCTGTAGAGGGCACTTTACACTGCCTCATTTTCTCTTAAAAGCAGCCACTAGTGGAGTTATTAGGCCCTATTTCCAAAGAATAAAACGGTGGCTGGCCCATAGTCACCCAGCTGGGAACTAGTAGAGTAAGGACTTGAATCCAGGCCGTTGGGCTCCACTGGGCTCCTCGTTCTTTGACTCTCATGCATTGCTGCCTTCTCGATCAAAGCCATGTTTAAAAATAAAACTCCAGAAAGGTTGGAATGAAAAGCAGCAAAGTGCATTAAGTAGTCATTTCAGGACTGCAAATATATCTAGGGCAGTAAATGTGTTTGTTTAGTACTTTCTGTGTGCTTCAAATTTCAAATACTGAGCACATGTGATTTTTGTATTTGTGATATAAATCATTTGTGATTCAGAGGACCTGCATGCCCGTGATTAGCAATGATTCCAGGAATCCAAAGACCCAGGGTTGTGCTGCCCGGGGGAGCTTTGCAAGGGCCACAGACCTCTGCTGTCCACGACTGCACCCCCAGTCCTGCAGACAGTCTCCTGAGCAGGTGCTCAGTGTAAGCTTTTTCAGTGAACTACACCACATTTCCACGTCGGCCGAGCGCCTTACTGCTCTGAGCCTCAGTACTGCCAGCTGGAAGATGGGGACAATGACCTCTGTCTTAAGGACGAAGAGGCTTCATGAAGCTTTGTTTCCGGTTCCCTTTGTCCGCCCTTGGGGGGTGTCCTGCTGCCCACTCCACCCCTGCCTTGTCACCCTCCCAACCCCTGGGCATGGAAGGGAGCAGAACAGAACTCGCCCCCCTTACCTCCAAGACGTCGATGTCTGCATTGCTGAAGTCAATGTTGAGGATTTTGGGGAGCGGGACGCCAGAGCCCAGCATGGCTGTGAAGACACCAGTCAGGCAGGGTCAGCACGGCCACGACTTGTCAGCCTCACAGGAGGCCACAGTGTTTGCAAGACCGGCCATTTTGCTTATGCCCCTAGGCCTCGGCCCCGTACTTCCTCCTACATGGAGCACCACTGGGCCCTAGTCTGCCCCCGAGCTCTGAGCCCCAAGACTGGATGCCGCCCCCCTCCCAGGAGGCTTCCTCAACACCAGGCCAAGCAGCCCTGCACTCCTGCTCCTCCTCCAGGTCTCTCTGTGTGGAAATTACAGGATATTAATTCCCTGTTTCTGTGTCTGTTGCCTCTCGGGCTGCGAGTTGCAACCAAAGACTGAGTCCTGCACCCCTCAGCTTTGAACCAGACGCAGGCAAACGCTCACTGAACAAGCATGAGAGGATGCAGGGACCCATGGGATGCACGCTAATTGTAGGTCACCAGAGCCTGAGTAGCCTGCAAATGAATACTCTAGAAGGAAGGAAGTGAAGAAACAAGGGGAGAAGGGGAAGGGGCTAAGTGAAGTTAAATGGACTTCCAGCCTCCAGCAGGACTTTGCAGAGAGGGGAGGACATTGTGACCACCCCAGAGGAATATGTTCTGTGTTTCCAAGACGTGCTGGTCTTAGAAACATTTTTTGGAGCTATTGCTCTGTGGAGCCCATGGTAGGAATCGTGAATCCATCTGATCTCTCACTTTTGAGAATGGCAAATTGTATCACAGCAAGACTAAGTGACCACTAAGTCCACACCATTTCTTGGAGATCAGGCCAAGGAGAGAGTCTCTATCTCTGCCTCCCAGCCCAGCCCAGCCCAGCCCAACTCCTGGCATCGTGTTGGATGTATTTTACCACATTGAAAATAGACACATAAAAGCCAGGAAATATCTTGGGTCATATTGAAAAAGCAGAAAGGAAAGTTTACAAAGAATGCCCAGAGGTTGAGATTAATGGCTGCTAGGGGGTGAGAGTTTCTGTTTTTAAATTGTTCTTCACTTCTTATATAAATTTACATACATATGATTTTCATATACAATCACAATTTTAATAGATAATCTGAAAAGCAAAATGATGAACCAAATTGGGGGCGGTGGCGGGGGGGGTTTATAGCAGAAGTACAAACAAGCTTGATGGACCCTTGGGACAATCTTTGCAGTCAGCAGTTAGAATGAAGTTCCCAGAAGTACAACTGAGGTAGAATGTCTGTCCATCAAATGTGCTCACCAAGCCAGCAGCCACCCTACCCCACCCCACCCCCACCCACGAGGGTGCCTGCACTCACCATTCATCGCGGGCATAAATGCCAGATCGAAGATCTTCCCGACCAGCATCTCCATGATGCCAACCTGCAGGGGAGGGAGGAGAACTGAACATTCCTCAGCTTCCAAGGGCTCCTTGAGCCCTGCCTGCATCCCAAGAGGAAGCAAACTGCTCTGAGAGAATTCAGGAGTTGTCAGAGCTCCTGTGACTCCAGAATCTCTGAGCAGAACATTCCAAGATGCATCTGGTCCTCCCCTCTGAGCAGGTGAAGGCTGCGTGGGCTGGGGGCTGGTCCGAGGCTTAAGGTGAGGTGGCCCTGCAGGGTGGCCCACTCTGAAGCCATGATTATGTCACACATGCCCTTGGCTCCCATCCCAGCTCAACTCCCATGAGCCCCTGGGCAGATTCCCTCACCCCCTGAAACTCAGTTTCCATAGCTATAAAAGGGGCCGGTAGGCCCGGCTTGCAAGGATGCAGCGAGAATCACAGGCAGATCATATAAAACTGAGCCTTGAGCCTTTTCATATATTATTTCTCTTAACTTCTCCAAACCTTAGTTTCAACTTCATACAAACCAAATGCATGTTCCTGCGTGTGAACTCCTGCTGTGGTATGGGGCCACGTGACAGCACCCAGCACCCAGAACACAGCTCTCGCACCCCAACATGGCCGGCTGTGTGGCTTGGGGCAATTCGCTTCACTTCTCTACATTTGGCTCCCTTATTTGGAAAATGGCTAATAATTGTACCCAAGTCATAATTTTGCTGTGAGAATTAAATAAGAAAATCTTGACGGGTTGTTCTGTTTTTTTTTTTTTTTTAAGCTTAATTTAGTGTCTGGGACATAATTTCGGCCACTCAATAAAGGGTCCTTCATCTTGTATTAAGTGTTGGATTCTTTATGTGGAATCCACATATATCGGTTCTAGACCCAGCTTTGCCCCAAACAGCTGCGAGATGTGGCATCACTCTTCCCTGGGTCCCAGGGACTCCCCCTGTACACTGGAGCAGGTGATACCAGCTCCCTTGGTTGTTGCTGTTTGGGTTAGAAAAGCTCAAAAATGGGGAACACTGGGGGTTTGATTTTCTCTGCACATGTGGAAAACTTACCCAACTTTGTCCCAGAAAGCAAGCATCTGCTTTACTGTCAAGTTATATGTGTGTGTATGTGTGTATATATACACATGTATGTATGTTATACATGTGTGTATACATATACGTATACATGCCTGAGATTTTAGGTGGGGTGAAGGACCCAGGGTGACCTGAGATGAAATAGGACCAAACCTTAGAATATGAGCATCTCAGATTCATGGACTCTTAGGAAAGCAGAATTACAGAACTTGGGGGCAAAGGGGAAGTTAGAAATAAATCCAAACGTGTTCATTTTACAGATGGAGAAGCTGAGGACCAGAGTAAGCTGGTTTGCCCAAGGTCACGCTGGAGTCAGTGGCACAGCTGAGCCCTCGGATTCGGGAGGAAGGGTGCTGGAGGACTTGGCTGCACCCATTTCCTTCCCACTCAAGTGGTGGGATTTGGGTGAAGTGGTTAACACGTCAAATCACCACAACAGCATGATCTGCAACATAGGAGCCACGAGTCTCTATGCTGTGCCTCGCTCCGTGGCCTCCGTGGCCTCATCTGTGGCACGAGGTCTAACGGCACTGATACCGGTGCTTTGGAAGTCACCCCAGGCCCAGCCAGCCTCATGGGGTGCCATTCCCAGATCTGGCTTAGTACTTACATCAAAATTGCCCACATTTGAGGTTCTAAGGTTGAGGTTGGTCCTGCAGATAAAGAAAACAACTGGTTAGAACTAGTGATTGCCTGAGAATCACAAGGGGTTCAAGTTTCAGCAAACTATCAGAGGGCCCCTGCATTCTTATAAAGATGTCTCGATCTGGGGGAATTAATAAGAACCACATCATCTGCCCACATGGGGCGCTGACCATGGACCAGAGGTGACGCCGAGGCTTTAGGAGCCGTCTGCACGGGGTTCGCATGGTAGTTCTCCCGCCTACTAGCTGTGTGTCTTTGCCAAAGCATTTAAACTCTCCACACCTCAGTTTAATCCTCTGCAAAGTGGCAGCTGCAAGGACTAGGTGATACAGTCCAAATAGAAGCTTTTGAACCAAATTTGAATCAGGGTGAATGCCAGACACCTATTAGGGAGTCGCTCTACCTGGCTTAATTCTCTTCCAGGAGCTGCCAGAAGAACAAACCTGAGCTCCAGGGGTGACTTCGGGGTGAAGTGGCCACTGTGCTCCCAGCCTCCTGGCGTCCACTGCTGCTTTGTGTTTGGCCTCCATGGCCACAGAGCTCACGGAGGGGAGCCCAGGGCCGGTGCCCCAAACCCTCGCCTGTCCAAGTACTGTCCTGAGCGGGGAGGCCCGAGGCCCCCGCCCGAGGTCTGCTCTGCCCTGTGGGGGCCTCGTCTCCCTGCGCTTGACTGGCACCTGCAAACGGGTGGTCCTTCCTGAGAGAGGCCAGCTGAGGCTGGCCCGTGGGCAGAACCACAGGCCGTCAGGCCAAGTAGGAGAGAAACCACCTTCTCAGGGGAGAAGATGCCACTCCGATGCGTATTTTTCTCCCCCAAACCCCTCTCGCCCCTCCAGCCAGTCCTCCAACAGCAGTTCAGGCTCTTTTGTGCCCTGGACGCTGCCTCTCTGTTCACCCTGCTGCGGCCTTTCCCACCCCCATGCCTCACGCAGACCGGGCCTCAGATGGAGCTTCTCCTCCCAGAAACTCCCGGCTGGCTCTGACTAATTTTCATATTGTGAGTAATACCCCATTGTCGACCTTGATAAATATTTGTTGTAGGAAGAAAAATTTATCATGGGGCCCTCCCTGGTGGCGCAGCGGGTTAAAGCACAGCATTAAGAAGCTAAAGCCACTTCCGCATGAGTTCGATTCCCACCCTGGAGGTGACCACATGGCCGGCAGACCTCTCCTGGCCCACCTGCTGCTCCCCTCAGCAGTGTACTTTGTTGATCTGTTGATCTGCCTGTTCTGCTCCCCACTCTGTCTCTGGTGAATCCTCTCTCCGCCCTTGCACCTCTGGCCTGTACCCCAGTTCTGTGTGCACAAATAAATAAATCTTGAAAAAAAAATTATGAACTAGGCATGTACTGATGATTTTACATACTATCTCACTTAATCTTGAAGGGGGAATCATAAAAGTACTTATTCCATCGGCTAATGTCAGAAGTAAATGAATTAAGAGATATTTAGGTTTTAGCCCAATGCCCGGCACATAGAAAACATCCATAAATAATAGTTATTATTATCATTGTCATGAGGTCCGTGCAGTAAGAACTACGAATCCCATTTCTAGATAAGAAAATTGAGCTTCAGAGAGGCGAAGTCACTTGACCTACATCACACAGCCAGTCAGTGCTCCCACTGGGATTTGAACCTAGACCTCTTAGCTCCAAGCTATGCCGGTGACCATTCCACGTGGCTCGCAGATCGTCTCTGCATTGCTGTGTGGCCTTAAGTAAGTACGTCCACCTCTCTGAACCTTCATTTTCTCCTCTTTAAAATGGGAGGATAATAAGCTGTCTCTGCCAGACCATAGCAAGCGAGGTTAAACGGGGTGATCCATACCGTGCCCGGCTCAGACCCTGCAGCATTATTATCACTGATGTCCTTGTTGTGGGTAGTAGGTTCTTTCTACTCAGCTCACATCTCGTGCCGCTGGTCTTAGAGGTCAGCCCATTTCATCTTTGCAGCCTCTTGGATGTATTGGTGACAGCCATTCCATGAGGCCCTCTAATCTCCTGGAGCACCCCTCCCCCCGCAGCTGGCACCACAGCAGCGCTCCAGAGGCCTTCCTGCCCAAAGTGCAAACCCCCTTACTTGTCCAGCTTGGCATCGATCATGAGTTTATCTCCGTCCACAGAAAACATGGCCAACAGTTCTGCGTCCTGGAGGAAAGGGGAGGAGAAAATGACACTGTCACCCATGGCCACTTCTTGCTGAGCCTGTGTGTGGCAGGCACTGGCCAGGTGCTTCCTCAGTGCAGTCCAGTCGACAAACCTTCCATACGCTGACTCCCTGTGATGCCCATCGTCAGTGTAATGGACCCCACCCTCTGGAGGGAAGGCATTAGGAATAATAAATTGCTAATTTACTAGTTGTTGCTCACCAGTAAGTCATAGCAAGGGCTGAGTAAGCATTTCTCAGTAAGCCACGATTGGCACAGTTTCTCTGAGCTGTCTCAGAGGAGACAGGGGCGGCCTGCAGTCTAAGAAACCTGCTCAGACAAACCTTGCAGGTGAAGATGGGCACTGTCACTGCCAGTCAAACGTCCCTGCCTGCCAGGGAGGGCATAAAAGGTTCAGGCTCCTTATCCCCCTCTCTAAGTAGAACCTTCTTGCAAGAAAATCCTTTGTTGTTTCTCCACTTCCCACTCCCAAAATAAAGTAAGTTGGTCTTGCCCAAAAATAAAAGGAAGCTCCCAACAAATTTGATGATGTGATGAATAATAAAAATAACTGGGATGATGGAGAAGATCTGGGGGCCCTGGAAGCACATGGCAGGGGCCTCAGCAAGCATGGGAAATTGCCCTGTTTATTACAAAGGAAGTGGTGTTTCAACTGGGGGCTGCAGGGTAAAATTTAGCCAGATGAGAACCAGGGCGTGAGAGCGAGCCAGGGAATCAGTGGGAAGAGCATGTGCAAATGCCTTGGAGTGGGACCGGGTCTAATATGTTGCAGGTTGCAGGAACAGTAGAGCTGAAAGGGGGCCCAGAGAGGATCTGAAAGGACTTTGTGGGTCACTGTTAGGTGACTGACTTTTGTTTCAGGATGGAAAGAAAGACATTTGAGCAGGGCAATGTGATTTTAAGAGAATTCTTCTCTAAGAAATAATCATGGAAAATTTTATTTGTAACTCTTTCCTTTAGGTGTCAGACAAGAGATCTGGTCACTTCTGTCATGTTCCCCTTTCTCCAGTATCCGGCAGACATCATAACCCACAGTGGGTGCCTTAAACCACCCCTGAATGCAAGGCCCAGGTCTACTCCACCATCCTCCTGGTGTGCAATCCACAAGAATGATACGAACCAATGATTTTGCTTGTGGTACATTGGGTACTGCTCTGAGCACCTTCATCGCCAAGTGATCAAGGAAAAATTCAAGCCCAGAGAGGGATGTGACTCACCCAAGGTCACACAGCCTGACGTGCTAAAGGCTGAATTTGAAGCAGATCATCCCGCTGCAAAGCCAAGCCGCGAGTCACTAGGCTGGGGCTCACAGGGACTTGCAGGGATCTGGCTGCCCACACCCCTAGACACTCACCACATCGATGAGGCAGATGGTGGTCTCGACATCATTGGGCTGGGAGACTGTGACCTCGGCAGTGGCAAACACCCTCACCACCGCCTCGTCCTTCTGTAGCGTCACTGAAGGTGGATTGGGCACCTGGATCCTGATGGTGAGTGGGCGGGACTCGGGGTACTGCTGGAACACCTGTGGACAGGGTGGACACCAGGCTGGGGTGGGAGGGCCTTTGGTAGTGGGGGATGTCTATGGGGTCATCAGTCAACGCTTGAACACAGCACAGGGCCCCACGCAGGGCTCCTTCCCATCTAGCCGCACCTCATGTTTCCTATAAGCCACAGTCACACCTGCTGCTGGGCTTGGGCAAGGGCCGCCCTCTGCCAGCCTCTCACGCAGGGTGTTGTGAGTTAGGGCTGATAACACCAGCAAAGCTTTGAGTTTGATGCCTGGCACGAGGAAATGCTCTGACCTTGACATGAGAGGTAGGTGGGGCCACCTGGCCCCCGGAGCCCCGGCTGGACATTTATGACTCCATGAATCATCACCATGTTACAGACGAGGAAACTGAGGCCCAGAGAGATGCAGTCATTTGCCCGATGTAGCAAGGTGCCTTGCTATATTGGAATTCAAACTCCTGTCTGTCTGCTCCAAAGATGTGGCTCTCCCGTCAACCAGGCCTGGCATCTTTACTCCTCCCTCGCCCCCTCTGCCTCCTAGATGAGTGTGCAGATGGGCGTCAGCACCCTGTTCTGCAAGATGAGGAATCTAAAACTCTGGTTCAGAGTCACAGAGCGAGGGACCCAAGACGGATTCGCAGCTGCAGACCAGGCCACCGCTAGCGCTCAGGACTCCCCCGCCGTGTGCTTCCTCTCACCCAGGTCTGGCCGCCAAGCTGTTGTCACCACCGAGGGGGGAGGGTGTCACAACCCCCCCAATACTGGACATCTTCCCTTCTCAGGGGGCTCCCGGAGGAGGGTGAGCCTGAAGACAGGGAGACGCGCCCTCCTTACATACCTTGGGGATCAAGGCTCCCAGCGTGGAAGTGGTGAGCGGAGGCAGCTCTTCAAACTGCAGAACAAGAAGAAGGGGCGTGTGAGCTCCAGGGGCCACAGGGACAGACAGGAGGTGCTGACACGGTGCTTAAATGCCTACAGGCAACCAGAGGGGCAACGTGTCCCCCTTAACATCCACGTCGGAGACCCTGCAGCCACCACACGACCACAGAGGGTGAAATGGAGAGGGGAGTCTCTTCAATTCACAACAGGGCAGGGCACTTTAAAAATGGGGTCTTTCCCCTTTAAAAATGGGGAAAGCCAGGTGAGCATCAACTGTGTACAACCCAGAGTCCACGAAATACGTAACTCCCCCATAGTCCTGAGCTAGCTGGACATTACTCCCAGAATTTCTCTTAAATCAACTCACCCTTTGAAACCCCAGAAACTAACGGGTGGGAAGCCGCACTGGTGCAGAGCGTGCTGCCCAGCCTGCCCGCCCCCCCCCGCACCCCCCCGCCAGGGCTGTGACTCACTGTGCCATCGGTGATGTCAATGTCCAGCGCCCCTTGCTTCTGCAGCAGAGTCAGCACCGAGCCCAGGAAGTTGGCAGAAATGGCCAGCTGGGAGTTGGTGTTGTCACCCATGGGGGGCAATTGGGGCATCTTTTGCCTGGGGCTCATCTCTGGCCGCCCCAGGGGATAATCGATGAGATCTCCTCCAGCCTCCCCAACCAGAGTCTAGAAAGTAGAGAGAAGGGGTCAGGGGGAGTGACAGGGCAAGAGTGAAGTGCGGGGTGGCCTGACTCTGCCTCCAGGCAGTCTTCCTTGATGACTCCCAGCTTGTGTTCAGTCTGTGAAGAAATAGAGTCTCTTACAGTTCCTGCTTTATGGTCACTTATCATTATGGCCCAGGCAGATCGCATTTTAAATAGATGTATGACAGAGTCCCCATCGCCTGCTGTAACAAATGATCACGTCCCTGTGCCTGCATAATGTACATATCTAATCTCTAAAGGCCAGACTCCTCTCCTGGATCTCCAAGGCACTGGGGTCTCCCAGGCAACCGTCTTGAGTCACTCTGTCCCTCATTCCCGCTTCTGCAGTGCAGTCGCAAGGGCTTCATCAACCCCTGTCACCACCTCAGCACCCCTAAGCACCCCTACCCTGTGGTGCTTCCCACATGCTGTTCTTTCCCTCACATTCTTCTTTTATCAACTGGCAGGCCACACCTCAGGTTGCCTCCTCCAGGAAGTCCTCCATGACTTTCTTGGGTAGATTACAGCCCCTGCTTTTGGTATGATAAGCAGGGAGACTCTTATAACTTCATCACCTATAGTTCTTCATTTGTTTGACTGATTCTTGGGTGACCTGGCCCCGTCAATATTGCAGACGCCATCAAAGCAAAGGCCTTGTCTGGCTCACCACTGCATCTCCTATACCAGCCCTGGCACACAGCAAGTAAACAACAAACATCTCTTGAATGGCTAGTGTTTATGAATATGCTAGGTGGTGTGGACCCGTGGGCATGGGTGCTGTGTCCATGTGTGAGCGGTGCTCTGTGTCTGATGGGGATGGAGAGGCAGTTGTGCCCCGTGCCCATCAGGCATCAGTTCGATGGTGTGCTGGAACATCTCTTCCCAACTCTGCATTCAGTGACATCACTTGAATTGGGCAGCTAGAAGCTGACCCTGGTGGGTGCATGGAAATCAGCCAATACTACAAATCAGGACAATTTTCTCAATCAGGGAGAGCCGGCTGTAAAACATACCAGCACCCCACAACCAGATTCATTCCTCAACAAACCTGAGTCCATGGCGGCTCTGGTGGCTGGAAGTCAGACCGCCTGGGTACAGAGCCCTGGTCTGCATTTACTCACTGTAGGACGTTGGGCAGGTGGCTTAATGCCTCAGCGCTCCCATTTCCTCAGTAAGAATACTTACCTCTTAGGGCCATTTGGGAAACAGACTGCGTTATCTACACAAAGCCCTGAGAAGGCGCCGGGCACACAGTGATACTTGATAACATGGGCCGTCATGTTTCCTCATGCAGCCCCTGGAGGGTCCTCATACAACCAAAAACAGGTCCAGGTCCAATACGTCTCCCAGGCTTTTGGCAGAAGCCCTGGGACACTCCTCCTACCCCTGCATTTGGAGAAGGAGCCACCTCCCGTTGCCCCAAAGCCCAGGCACTCACGTTGAGGTCTAGCTCCAGGAACTCCCCAGTCACAAGCGGAAGGCTGGAGAAGGTGTACTGGACGCTTCCCAGTATCCCCAGAGGAATCAGCGCTGCAGACAAAAATAGGGGTGACGGGATGGGCCCCCTCACCCACCAGTTTGCCTTCCCTCCTGTGCTCTGAGGATGGTGACGCAGCAGGCTGGCTTCAGACATCACGGAACAAGCAAGAGTTCTAGGTTCAAGTCCCAGCTAGGCCACTTCCTGTGGCGTTCAGGCAAGACACTGACTCTTTTTGAACTTCAGTCCCCTCCTCTGCAAAATGGGCTAAAAATAACTCCTTGGGCTCTGTTGGGCACCCTGGCAGTGAGCTCCTGGATATTGATATGCTTTGATACACTGTGAAGTCTTGCGTGCCTGGGAAGCAGCTTTAAGGTCCACAGCTGTGCTGAGTTAGATCTGGAAGCTCCCTGCTGGGCTCTTCTCCCTCTTTCCTGGCCACAAAGGGACGAAGTTTACCTGCCTGGGAAGCTACCCTTAAACTGTCTGGGGCCCCTGCGAAAGGGGAGCGCCGTCAGAGAGGGCTGCCCCGTGCTACCACGGGTGCTGCACCCTCACATGCCTCCAGGACATGAGGGTCTGGGTGGAAGGGGCGCTGTGGGGCCCGAGCATGGCACAAGTGCATGGGGCAGGCTTGCCTGTGGGCTGTTTACTCAGAAACCCCAGTCGGTGGGGTGACGGTGGAGCCCGGTTCTGAGGACCTGGCTTTCTCTGTGGTGTCTGCTATTCACTCTCCACTTGTCTGTGGCTGGAAGCTGAACCTCTTACTTCAGAGATGAGGAAACTGAGGAGAGTCTCCCCAAGGCCAGTGGCTGCTGGGAGGCTGGGGGTGGGGGTGGGCGCAGGGTTCAAAGTCCATCTCCTGGCTCCCTGTCCAGCGTGGCCGCCTCCTGGGTCCAGGAGGAAGCTCCTCTCTCTGGGGCTTGGAAGGATATTTGGACATCAGAGGAGTCGGGTGGCCCCTCTGGTGACATCTGCCACGTAGCACTTCAGTGGCCGAGGGCAGTCTGCTGCCCCATCACTTTGGCTCTGCTCCCAGACTTTGCGGAGTCCCCAGCACCCACCCTCAGGCCAGATCAGGCACTCATAGTGTTGGCCAAGTGAGGCAAAGCAGGACAGACTTACAGTCCACAAGACCCAGCTGGTCGTTGACAAGTCCCAGCACCACATCCACGATGGGGCAAAGCTGTGGGAGAGAGGGGCGTGACGTTCTGTGACCACAGGGGGGCGCCCGTGCGTGGCCTGGGGAAGGCTCTCATAAGGCCCATTTTGCAGAAGGGAAGACAAAGGCTCAGAGAGGTGGTATGCCTACACTGGGGTGCAAATCCAGACTACGTGATTATTCTCAAGCCCCATCTTATTTCTTCACAACTCTGTCCCTCCATATTCTGCAGGGTCCACCCCAGAGCCCCCAAAACATGCCCACGGCCTCCTGGGTGTCCTGCATGTCCGCAGGGGTGGAGCAGGGCTGGGCAGCTCCTCAGTCCGAGGAAAACCGTGCTTCTCGCTCCTCAGCCTGGGGCAGTTTCTTACCAAGTCAGGGAGAACGTTGGCCAGGACTCTGTTCACTAAGTTGTCCACGAGGTTAGGGAGAAGCCTAAAGGGAAATATACAGGTACGCTCATAAGCTCTGCCAGTGTGCTGGGTTCTGTTTTTTGCTTATTATCACAATCCCAACAGGAAAAGGATTACCCCATTTCACAGCTGAGAATCTGGAGCTCAGAGTCGGACACCAGTCCCCTAGTCACACAGCAAGAAATAATGGAGCTGGGGCTTACCCCCAGTCCCAGGGCCTCTGTTCTTACCTCTGTGACTTGCAGGGGACAGACCACTGCACCACGGCCCCGAAGCGGCACACACCCCACTGCTACTCACCCTCGGAGCAGCTTGACCTTGATGCCCCCCAGGAGGGTGTCACATCGCTCGATGACCAGCCTGGGGTAGCCTGTGCGGTCCATGGTCAGTCGGACCTTGGCTGTGATGTTCACCTCCACGGCGATGTCCAGGAAGCCAATAAGACTGGGGAGATCACGGGGAGGGTCCACCGTGAGTCAGACCCAGCCCAGCAGCACAGCCTCCCTGAGGCCTGCCCAGCTCTTCCCTAGCAGGGGCCGGCACACCCTCGCCATCTGTCCCCCTCCCTGGCTCGTGTCTAGGCGTCCCAGGCGTGAAGGCTCCCCGGTCGCTCCAGGCACCTACCCGCCTCCCCACCCCCAGTCCATTAGAGCTTCTGGCTGGGAACAGGGTCAGTAAATGGACTGTGTGTAAACACCTGGCTGCCTCCCACACTTGGCCATGGCCACCCGGGAAATGGGACGCCTCTTTATGCCTTTGCCAGTGAAGCTACCAAGGCAGAGTGCCGTTAGGGTACTGGCCCGAGATCACACAACTTAAGTAACAGTCAGGACTCAAATCCTCAAATCCAGGCTGCCACCTGACTCCAGTCTCCCAGCTCCTCTGACCCGCCACGCTCAGTGGCCTTCTCTGCAGGCGGGACGACGTGACGGCCCAAGTTCAAGGACAAGTCATGCAGAGCCAGGGCCGCTCAAGCCCTCCTGTCCCCTCATTGCAGGTGTAGAGTCGGGCGACCACCTGCCGGCGGTCTCCTGACCAGGAGTGGGGTGGTGGGGACGG